GCGGGGGCAGGGCGTGCGGGGCCGAAGCGCGCTGGAGGGGTCGCGAGATTTGCGGGGGCGCGCGAGACCCGAGGGGCGCGAGATTTGAGGGGCGTGCGAGGCCCGAGGGGCTCGAGGGGTCGCGAGATCTGTGGGAGTGCGCTAGATCTAAGGGGTGTGAGGAGCTTAAGAGTTCGCGAGATTTGGGGGGCGCGTGAGACTCCGGGGGCAAGAGGGGCGCAAGGAGTCGTGAGGTTTGGGGGGCGGTGCGCGAGAGCCGAGAGGTCGTGAGAGTTGAAGGGGCGCCGGAGACCCGAAGTTCGCGAGATTTGAGGGGGCGCGTGAAATTCGAGGGCTGGGGAGACGCGACATTGCAGGGGCGCGCGAGACTCGAGGGCGCAGGATTTGAGGGGGCGCGAGAGACCCGAGCGGGACTCGAGGGTCGCGAGACCTCCCCGACGGTCGAGACTTGGGTGCGTGAGTTTGCGGTCGCGCGTGCGCGCGAGGTCGCGCACGGAGCGGCATCGCAGTCTCCGGGGAAGTTTGCGGGGTGGGCGAGACTGGCCAGTTGGGGACCCCTGCACGTAGGTAGAGCTTGAGAGAGGAGAGGGCCTGAGGGCTGCTAGCCCCAGCCCGGCGGGGGCAGCTGGGTGGGGCCCCTGGGGAGGCCACACGGCCGACAGTGGGAGGATTCTGGGATCTGCAAAAACGCCTCAGGCGGAGGCTAAAGGCTCCGTCCTGCCTGTGTTCCAGGCCCCTTGATGGCCAGACCTGTCCTGTGCTCGTCCATTTCTTATAGAGGGTCCCATCTAAGCCTTGGTTTGGAGGTAGGGTTCTGCTGCTAAAGAAAGTTTGGAAAACACCAGATGGTCACATCCCCTATTTCATCCGTGGGGGTGCTGGGGCCCTGGAGAGGAAGCGATCTGCTGAGGTCTCAGGGTCTGGGGCGCGGGAGAGCGCTCAGAAAGCGGGAGTGGGGCGGGAGCGGGGAAGGCACACTGGACAGGTCGGCTGGTTGCTCCGAGCGTTGCTCCGAGCATCGGTTTCTGAAACGTGGACAACCGACCTTGTAGGATTCTCACAGGGAGGGGGTGAGAGGCTGCAGGTAGAGCACCCCTCACAGGCAGCCACCAGCCGAGCCACTTCCTGTCTCTGGGCCTCGGTATCCTCCTCTGTGAAATGGGGGTGTGGGGGGGTTATACTGCTCAGGTCCTTAGCTCTCTGGTACTGTGTTTTTCTCCCTGCTCGAAGTCCTACCTCCTCCTGCCCTTCTTCCTTCTCAGGTCCCTGTCCTGGGCCCGCTTCTTGCTCCTCATCTCAACACTAGTTCTGGGACAGCCTGCCCCAGAAATGAACTGAGTACCTGCTGGGTGCGTGGATGGTGGATCCATTAATAAACACTCCCAGCCTACAGGGCAGCCTGGAGGGCACCTACCACCCAGCACTAACTAGCACTTGGATTTGGTCCTTGGTTTGGGGGTTTTTTAAATAAGAGGACAAAGGTGACGGGTAGTCGAAGGCCCCTTTGTCCCCTTTATATCCTTCCCCCTGTGGCCCCAGAGGTTCTGCTAATGTGAAGTGCTGCCAGGTAGGTTTAAATAGTTCCATAAATGACAACCATGGTTGGTGTCTTGTGTTTTTTCTGGGATTGGTTTTGAGAAGGGGCACATGACCACGTGTAGTTTGTTCCTTAGCCCAGCAGGTGAGGGAATCACCTTGTGTTTGCTCTGTCTCTTGCTGGACTTCCAGGTGTGGCTGTGGGCATCCTTGTTTGGAGGGCAGATGGGCAAGAGTTTCTTGAGAAAGGAACCCCTGAACTGAGTCCTGGAGGCTAAGCAGAGCCAGTGGACACAGGGGAGCTTCCAAGGAAGGGCTTGAGAAGAGGGAAGGAACAGGAGGAGGAGGAAGACAGAGGGGAATTTGTGAGTGGGGGTCATCGCCCAGGCCACTGGCTGGGAGAAGGGCTGTAAGGGGCGTGCGTGGAGGCTGTCAGGCAGGTGGTGAGACACCCAAAGGCCTGGCCTTGAGGGTGGGGGTGGAGGGTGGGGGGAAGAAATGTGTGGGCTGGAGCATCCCTCTGTTGGGAAGTGACACAAGGCCCTGAGTGGAGTCTCCCAGCCCCCAGCAGCAAGTCCAGGGGCTTTAAGGGGGAGGAGGACACTGTGCTAGTGCTCAGAGCCTCCGTTACCTACCATAATTCTTGCTAATTACAGTGGTGGCGCCACGTTGTAGTCTCCAAGACTCTAACATCCCGTTCTGTCACCTGAGCAGCCCTGTGTGCCTTTCTTCCTGTGAGCACTTGGGGTCTGGGTACCCCATATCCTCTAGGTCACTCGTTCCTTCCATCCACCTGCCCTCTTACAGCAGAAGCCCTTCCCATGAGCCTGCTCTTTGTTCTGCAGGTCATTTGCCAACATGATTAGGGGTGGGGATGCCAGGATTTGGATCCAGAGCCCAGGCCCTTCCCCATATGTGAGATCAGGGCCTGGACAGGGACACCTCAAGCTGGAGGCCCTGCATGGGATGGCGCCCTGAAGGTCTCAAAACAACACGGTCAAATGTCCAGGCTTCAGAATTTTTCACTCAAAACAAAACAGCTCACAGTCCTTCCCTGAGACTCTATCCTGGTAAAAATTAAAGTAAGAACACGTAAGAGAAATCAGCAAAACTTAAAATCTTCTCTGGCTTCTCTTTGCTTTGGGGATAAAACCCCAAATCCTTAACTTTGAAATACTAAGCTAACTTTTACTGGTGCTTACCAGACTGCCTGTGTTAAACCTATCCTCGCAGGAGGGAGTCCCTGTGTTTTTTTTTCATTCATTTGTGGTAGCAAGGGGCCCAAGATGCCCTGGGTGCTGTTGTAATTTCGGTAGTGAGGGAAAGAGACCAAGTCCTTGCCCTCCCAAAGCTATATTCTAGAAAGAGCTGCAGGCAGTGGGCAGAGAGACATGTGTCAGAAGGGGATAAATAAGGTGGTTGGGGGGGTGGATGGGGCAGGTGGAGTTTAGGTGTGACAGGGAAGACTGTGACAGGTGACATTTGAACCACATAGGTCTCTAGGTGGAAGTGCCCTGAGTGGGGGGACACCCTGTGCAAAGGCCCTGGGGTGGAGGAGGGCCAGTGTGCGTGTGTTGGGGCACTGGAGGGACTGAAGGAGGCGTGCTATTGGGTGTGTGTGTAGACTCTAGAGGCTGGGGAGAGAGCAGCCGCTGGGGGAGCCCTGTCGAAATCCAGGTAAGAGGTGGTGGTAGCCTGGACCAAGTGTGGTAGAAGAAGCAGGAAGAGGGCTCCAAAGCAGAAGAGTGAGCTTTTCCTCAAGTTTTTCCCCTAAATTCAGTAAGTGCAGTGATCTCAGGGGGATGGCTGGGTGGATATTCATGCACCTGTGTACCTTTGTGAGTCAAGGCCAGACTACCCAAGTCAGATGGGGGGGGGCAGGGGAGGTGGGGAGAGGAAGAAGCTGGGCGGGGAGCATGTTGAGGATGGACCACTAGATGTTATGTGAATCCCAGGTTTGGGGGGGCCGGGCTGGCGCACCCCATGGGCAGCTGCATGAAGATGTCATCAAAGCGGGAGAGGAGGCCATCCAGAGAGGGAAGTGGGGGCCCAGGGCTGAGCTGGGGCGGGGCTAGTGGAGGGAGGAGGGGAGCAGCCTGGGATGGGGTCCTGCATCCCGGATCAGATGCCACCCCTGAAGAACAGTTGAGGGCAAAGGGGAGGTGTAGGAGGACCTGATGGCTGGCAGTGTCGAGCAACCTTGGTGGATGTGGTGGGAGCCAAGGGTCATTTCTTCAGGAAGCTTCCTGAGCCAGAATGCCCCAAGGGCAAGACTGCTGCCTCCCTGCCCCTATCCTTACATCTGCCTACCTGGATCCCCCCCATCCCTTCTTACTCCCTTTTCTCTGGGCATCTCAGCCCCAGACTTTCCTGCCTCCTGCAGTGACCCCCCAAATGGGTGAGGGACTGGCTGGACCTCTCTCAGCCTCTCTCCTTGCCCAGAGGGTGCGGGAGGGGGGCGGGCAGGCCTGGGCTTGTTGGCTCTGCTTCAGTCCGTTGTTCCTTCACTAATGGACGCAGGGCTGGCAGATGCAGACCACTTGAAGGCTCAGGAAGCCTCTAGAAAGGAAGAGAATCATAGGAGTGAGTTGGACAGGTAAACCTGGAGGCCATGGGACCAGGAAGGCTGAGAGCGGTGTGATGATGTGGTGGAGTCCACAGCCAATCTTGAGGAAAACCCACACTTGGAGCAGTGTGACCACCACGAGCCATACCTCTCTGTGCCCTGTCCCTCTCAGTGGCTGTCCACTGCTCATCTGGTGTGGGGTGAGCTGGGGCACCCCTTGCCCTGGGACAGCTGCCCACCCCAGTCCCTCAAATGTCCCCCTCTTGTCCTTCCCTAGCACGCACTATCTTCCGGCCCACCATAGAACTCAGCAGGTAGCCTCCGGGGGTCAGGTGTCTGTTGTGTTCACTGCACAAAGAGATGCTGGGTGAATGCTGAATGAATGAAAATGGATGGAGGAAGGAAGAGGAT